TACACAGTTTAAAACCCTTAAAAATCAATACAGTTTCAATTATCGAACAAAAAATCGGGAAATCACCCAAATATTGCATAAATCTTACCCGATTTTCCAGGTTCGTTATTTGGTTAGTGGTTTATTTTGTAACTAAACTTGAGTAAAACAACATATTTCTAACAAACACAAGATAAACGATAATATAACGATAAACCAATGATGTAATGAAAGACATTATTGCATCAAATGATACAACACTTTAATAAATAATAAGTTTTTGTTTATTTCAACAATTAAAAAATGGCCATCGATAACATAAAACAAACATTTAAACAATCAAGGTTATTGATCAAAACAGTATTAAATAAAATAAACAATTCAAAAATAAAAAATAAAATTTTCAATTGTAAAGTCTAAAAAATTTTTTAAATGTTGGTTTTACTTATTTATACTTTTCTTTTTTATCCAAAACACAACTTCGTGATTATTTAAAAACTGACATTTAATTATAAAGATGTGTTTTATGTTTTTGGCAAAATTTGTGTTATGGTAATCAAAATTTTAATCCCAAGTTTGTTTTTTGTATTTTTCAATCAATTTTTTGGTGCAAGATTTATTTGTCAAGTAAAATTTAAAAAAGTCATGTTCGTTATTTTGTTTTTTTCGAGTAAATATTTATAACAAAAAATGAGGGTTAAGCAAAGGAAAAATTATTTAGAAATTATTTGTCTAAAAAATCGGGGCATCCCAATACAGAGTTTTGAAAAACAGTTTACTTTTATAATTTTTTATAAACAAATAAACTAAGATTTGATTATTTTAAATTGAAAATAATGATAATGTGTCTGGTGTACATTTATCATTCATTGATGTCAAACTCAGTTGTGTTTTCTCGTTTTGAGATTGAAACAACAATCAAAACAGTTCATACCAAATGATGTCACGGTTGATGGTATATCTGCACTGGTCAAATTCGTACAACTAGCAAAACACCACTTATCAAGTGATGTCACACTTGATGGTATTGTCACATTGATAAGACCGCTACATCCACAAAAGTAATGATCTCCAATTGATTTTACACTTGATGGTATTACTATATTACTCAGACGTTCACAAGAAGTAAAACATGAATTTGGTATTGATGTAACACTCGATAGTATAACTACATTTTTCAAAAAGCAACATCGACAAAAACAGGCTTTACCAATTGATATAACACTTGGTGGTATTATTACACTGCTTAAACTACCACATTCATAGAAACTATCATTACCAATTGATTTAATACTTGATGGTATTGTCACTTTGTTCAGAGTATCACATCCATAAAAACAGTTGTCACTCATTGATGTAAAACGGGATGGTATATCAAACTCGGTACATTTTCATTCGTTGTTTAACTTTTTATTGTTGATCATAATTGCACTTGTTAGTATTGCTACACTGCTCAATGTTTCATACCCAAATAAGCATCTATCTTCAATAATAACGTTTATAAAATGTGGTATAACTACACTGGTAAGACGATCACATTCACTAAAACAAAAATCACCAATTGATTTCATACTTGATGGTATTAACACACTGCTTAGCCTACAACAACTACAAAAACACAAATCGCCAATTGATTTCACACTTGGTGGTATTGTAACGTTGACTAGACTGCCGCAGTAAATTAAACATTCAATACCAAGTGATATAACTTTTGATGATATAACCACACTACTCAAATTGCATCCATTAAAAAATTCATCACCAAGTGATGTGACACTCAATGGTATCAATACATTGCTTAAATCGATACAGTTATAAAAACACCATTTACCAAGTGATGTCACATTTGGCGGTAAATTATTACCATATTTATTTTTATCATTATCAGTGTAGATAACATTTTTAAATTCGATGTTTATATTACTGTTTGTGTCAAATGTTGTATAATCAACAGTGAACCACACTACAATTTGATAAAAAACGATTTTCATTTCAATGTTTTGGTTTTTGTTGATATCTTCTGATGTTCCAGAGTGTTCAGTATTAACAAAAAATTCATTACCAAAGTTCTCGTTTTCTTTATTTTATAAGTGAAGTGTTTCAATGTTTGTAAAGTATTTGATAGTTTTGTGATTCAATGGAATTGGATTGAAATGAAACTTTTCCATGTTGCCTTTGTACTTTATGCATACAAATTCAATGTTGACAAGGTCTTCTATTGTTGTGAAATACTTTGAGACTATCATGACATAATAACTGTCAAGTTTGGACATCTATAATTATTAAGTGATAGTTTGATTTTTAAATACTTAAAATTCAAAGGAACTAAATATTTTTAGAAGATGATTAATTGGTTGAAACAATGTCAAATGATGTTTTTAATTGTTGGTAAAAAAATATTTTACCAAAAATACACATTTGTTTTCAAAAATAATCAATGTGATAAAATAATAATTATTTAATAATAAATTTATAATTAAAGTGTAAACATCAAAAATAAAATAAAACTAAATTATAACAAAAAAGTTTATCAAATAAGTATCGTGATTTTTCAAAGTTATTTTGTCTATCACAACACAATTATTTTTAAAATTTGTTTAATTTATTATAAATACTTTATTTAATAACTTATTATTTTTTTAATTAAAATAAAATAAAAAGATAAAGAAATATTTATTAATTTTATAATATACTTATTGACTCACTTTTAGATTTTATAATTCACTTGTCAAAAAATGACTCACTTCTGCGCTTTCTGACTCAATTAAATAAAAGTAACTCACTTAAAAAATAATTTACTATTTCAATGGTTTTTTAAATAATAAAATAAAATTTTTTCAAAATAATAAAATATAGTTTTTAATTAATTTGTTATATAATTATTAACTCAATCAAAGACTTGACTATTTGAGTTAATTTGCCATTAATCAAAATAATTTATATCTGGATTGTAATGAAAGGGAGTTTCCCAAAGTAATCAAAAAACGGTAGCAGAATTGATTTATTATTGGTTCTTTCAAGCCTTCTCAAACTGTTAAATAAATTAAAGATCAAACATCAAAACATATTTTTTT